ATTTGAAAATAACCCATTAATTCCTATTCTTTGTTTCCTCTCTGCCAACCAGTTTTCTATCCATCTCAATACACTTTCTCCAATCCCATGCGCTTTAATCTTGCACAATAATCACTTATGCAGGACTTTGTCAAACACTTTCTGAAAGTCCAAATATACCACATCGACTAGCTCCCCCTTGTTGATTCTACTAGTTACATCTTCATAGAATTCCAACAGATTTGTTAAGCATGATTTCCCCTTCATAAATCCATGCTGACTTAGTCTGATCTTGCCACTGCTTTCTAAATGCTCCATTATAAAGTCCTTGATTCAAAAAACTTCCCCACCACTGATGTTAGGCTTACTGGTCTATAATTCCTTGTTTTCTCTCTACCTCCCTTTTTGAATATTGGAGTGACATTAGTTACCCTCTAATCTGCAGGGACTGTTCCAGAGTCTATAGAATCCTGGAAGATGAACACCAATGCATCCACTATTTGTAGAGCCACTTCCTTAAATATTCTGGGATGTAGATTATCAGGCCCTGGGGATTTATCCACCTTCAATCCCCCATCAATTTTACCAGCACCATTTCTCTATTAATATTGATCTCCCTCAATTCCTCCCTCTCACTAAATCTTGCATCCTCCAACAATTCTGGTATCTGATTTTTGTCCTCTTTTGTGAAGACAAAACCAAAATATGTATTGAGCTGCTCACCCATTCCTTTGTCCCCTATTATACATTCCCCAGTTTCCATCTGTTGGGGACCTACATTTGTCTTCACCAATCTCTTTCTCTTCACGTACCTATAGAAATTCTTAGTGTCAGTCTTTATGTTCCCTGCAAGCTTACTTTTGTAGTGTATTTTTCCCTTCTTAATCAATCCCTTGGTCCTTTTATGCTTAATTCTAAACTACTTCCAATCCTCAGACATACTATTTTTCTTAGCCAATCCATATGCTACTTCCTTGGATTGGATACTATCTCTAATTTCCTTTATAAGCCATGGATTGGCCCTCTTACCCATTTTGTTTTTGCGCCAGACAGGAATAAACAGTTGTTACAATTCCCCCATGCGTCTCTTCAATATTTGCCATTGCCTATCCATTGTCATTCCTTTAAGTAACTCTCCCCAAGCTATCAAGGCCAATTCTGCCTCTTATCTTCATAGTTTCATTTATTAAGATTCAGCACCCTAGTCTCTGAATCAACTGCCTCACTCTCCATCTTGACAAAAATTCTACCATGTTATGGTTGATCATCCCCAAGAGGTCTCGCACAGCTAAACTGGCAATGATTCCCTTCTCATTACATAGTACCCAGTCTCAGATGGCCTGCTGTCTAGTTGTTTCTTCCACATATTGGTCAAGAAAACCCTCCTGTATATGGTCCAGGAATTCCTCCTCTATGGCGTTTTGGCTAATTTGATTTGCCCAATCTATGTGCAGATTAAAATCACCCATGATCGCTAATATTGCCTTATCACATTCATCTCTAATTTCCTGTTTAATGCCATTCCCAACATCACCACTGCAGTTTGGGGGTCTATATATCACACTCACTGATGTTTTTTACCCCTTGGTATTTCTCAACTCTACCCATACAGACTCCACATTGTCAGAGTTAATATCCTTTCTCACTGTTGTATTAATTTCCTCTTAACCAGCAATGCCATTTCACCATCTTTTCCTTTTTGCATATCCTTCCTAAATACCAAATACCAAATACCCTGGGACATTCAGTTCACATGCCTGGTCACCCTGCAGCTATGTGTCTGGAATTCCAATTATATCATACCCGTTTACATTTAGCTGTGCAATTACTTCATCCACTTCATTGCAAATGCTCCATGCATTAAGGCACAAAGCCTTTAAGCTTGTCTTTTTAACATTGTTTGTCTCGCTTTTATTTTTCTCGATAGCCCCATTTGAATTTTGTCCTTTATTTCTCTTCCTGTCACTTTTCTTATTGCCTTTTCTACCTTTTGCTTTTGTCCTTGTTCCCTCCTTCTCTGACTCTTTACATAGGTTCCTATGCCGTTGGCATATTAGTTTAAACCCTCCCCAGCTGCTTGAGCAAACACACCCCTAGGACATCAGTCCCACTCCTGCCTAGCTGTAACCTGTCCAATTTGTACAGGGCCCACCTCTGCCAGAACCGGTCCCAATGCCCCAGGAATCTGAAACCCTCCCCCAACACCATCTTTCCAGCCACATAGTCATCTGATGCATCCTGTCATTTCTACTCTGACTAGCACATGTCACCAGTAATAAACCTGAGATCACTACCTTTGAGATCCGATTTCTTAACTTTCTTCCTAGCTCCCTGTATTCTACTTTTAGGACCTCATCCCTGTTTTTTACCTATATCGTTTGTACCAATGTGTACCACAACTACTGGCTGTTCACCCTCCCCTCCAGAATGTTCTGTGCCCACTCTGAGACATCCTTGATCCTAGCACCAAGAAGGCAACATACCATCCTGGAGTCTCATTTGTGGCCACAGAAACGCCTGTCTATTCCCCTTACGATTGAGTCCTCTATAACTATTGCCCTGGCACATTTTTTACCCCTCCCCTCTGCAGCAGAACGAACCGTGATGTAATGCGTTTGGCTACTGCTGCTTTCCCTTGAGATGTCATTCCCCTCAACAGTATCCAAAACAGTATAACTATTTTGCAGAGGAATGGCATCAGGAGATTCCTGCCCTACCTGCCTATTTCTCTTGCTCTCTCTGGTGGTCACCCATCCCCTTCCTGCCTGCAAGGTCTGAGCCTGTGGTGTGACCACCTCTCTATACATGCTATCCACAATACTCTCTGCCTCAAGGAAGCTCCACAGTGTCCCCAGCCGCCGCTCCAGCTCTGAAACTCGAGCTTCCAGGAGCTGTAGCTGGAGACACTTCCTGCACACATGCTCACCTGGGGGACTGGAACTATCCCCAGCCTACCACACAAAGCAAGAGGAGCAAACCCAGACTTTGAGCTCTCCTGCCATGGTTTACCTCTTTAAATTATACCTTGGAGAGTATTTTGTATTAGATTAAATCAAATCCAGTTATGTGTTGCCCTCTCTACCTGGTCTGTGTACTACCCTTACAGGTTAGAACCCAAAATAAAGTACTATAAGTGATAGAAGTTGTAAGGACTTACCTACTTTACCTGCTACTCACCAATCAGCTCTCTCCATTGTAGTCACCTACAGTAGGGCAAGGCCACGCACTTATCCTTGCTTGTGGTCCTCACCAAGACTTTTTTCTTTGGTAGAAAAGCATGGAAACACTAAAATACTGTTTCCAGTTCAATTGTCCCTTGACAACACCCCCTACACAAACCACTATTTGGTAGCGGTGACTGCACCAATGCGAATCTTCACCCCAACCACCAATCAGTATCGTCACAGCCCTCTGCTTCAAACAGTTCCCTTTCCTGTTCAAGCTGCTTCTTCTACAATTGAATTCTAGCCATTTCCAAAGATTCTAATGGCCTTTCCAGCACATTTAAATGTCGAGCTATTGCTGTAATTACATCTTCTTTTCTCTCAGACAAAGGCAACCCCAACTCTAGCTTGTCTGCCAATTCTACCAGCTTTTCCTTGCTCACCTTTTGTAAAATCCCCAAAGTCACTTCTTCTACTCCCAGAAAACTCTTAGTGACTGAAAGAGCCCTTACCTCACTTTTGATTTAACCAACAACAAGCAACCTAAATTACACAGACTTACCACTTCTCAACTAAGTTTTATTTAAAGATCTAGGAAGCTGGTCCCCAAGTCTGTTTAAATCTGCTGGGATCTTTCGTACCCTAAATCTGTCCAAATCCGTCTAGATCCTGGGCCTGAGCCTCCCATCTGTTATAGATCGACCCCCGCTCTGATAACTAAAACTGAAAAACCTAGAGAGGCTTGGCTCGCCTTATAACTTGTTAAGAGAAATGTGAAAAGTGGTATAACTTACCTCTCACCCCCTTTCTGTTACAAAGAGTGGTTAAATGAAATAAACTCCTGACACTCACTCTATAATCAACAAGTAACAACTTATTTATCTAACTCTAACAGTGAACAAATTAACTGAACTATTAACAAACCAAACAATTCCCCTCTAACTACTAACTATTACCAAATAAAACAAAATTCTAATAGTATGCTGTTCTAATAAATACACGTCACACTTATATAAAGCAAAAATTAAAAAAAAATCTACAACTTAGTCTGTCAAAATTACAGCCAAAATTACAGTGACTTCTCCATTGATCTTCTGCCAGGAACACCTTCTCTGTCGAATTCTTCTGTCAGGAATATAAACTAAGAGTGCTGCAGTCCCTTTATTTAGATGATGATTTCTCTAAGAGCTAAGGCAGCTGATCTCTTAGCAGAAGGCAGTTCGTTCTCTGCCAATTTTTCAACTGTCTCTGTCTTTTATACCCTTGATGACATACCAATTTCTTACAATAGGATTGGTCCTATGTTGATAAAACCATCAGATTTAAATTTAATTAACTTTTAGTATCTAAGTGCCTGGTTTAAATGAATTGGCTAACTCAAAACTTGTTGTCTTGATAACAAAACAAAACCACAGCTTGGCATGCTAACCATCCAGTCTTTTTTATACAAATGTTACAATTCAGGTATTCTGTGCACTTGCAAACGCACAAGCTGCCTACAGACTTTTTTTAAATCTCCAAGCCTAGAAAATGTGCACCATCTTTTAAAGGGACCATACACTGTTGCCCCCAACCCCCATCATTTTATAAACATCAATATTTTACAAACACCAAATTCTAATGTCCGGCCTTCCAATCCACAAAAAGTGCTCTACTCAACTTTGCAACACGCTGTACCAGCTGACACCTGCCCCCTGCCCGTTTTTGTGTCCACTACCACCTGCCCCTCTGCCTGTCTCTGTACCCAGTGCCACCACCTCCCCTCTGCCTGTCCCTATACCCATTGCCACCAGCTGTCCCTCTGCCTGTCTCTGAAACTGTCTCCCAGTCACAGTGTTGTTGGGGTGTTGTGCTCACCGGTTGTTAAGGCAGCAGTAAATGATGGGGTTGTACATGGTTGAGCTCATGGCCAGCCAGAATATGCCCAGATACACCTGCTGTATGTAGGTTTCATAATAGATGTCCTTCTTGAAACTGGCCAGAATGAAATACAAATGGTAGGGCAGCCAACAAATGGCAAAGGTCAGAACAACCACAATCATCATTTTCACCACCTGAAACAGAATAAAGAACATCAGGCAATTTGTTGAAAAGTGATCTTAGAGATGTGTAAGAAGGTTTTATCAAAGCAAACTTTTAATATCAGTTAGGCATATCAAACATAGATCTTGAGAACAAAGGTCCTGTCTATCAATTTTGTTGAGCTATTTGACTTATGAATTTTGTGATTTTATTTTTCATGGGCTGCAGATAACACTAGCTAGATCAGGATTTGTTGCCCATCCCTAATTGCCCTTGAGAAGGTGGTGGTGAGCTGGTGAGTCTATGTGCTGTAGGTTGGCCTTTAGTGCCCTTAGAAAGGGAATTCCAGGATTTTGACCCAGCCACATTGAAGGAATGGCGATATATTTTCAAGTCAGCTCGGTGAGTGGCTTGGAGGAAAACTTTCATGTGGTGGTGTCTCATGCATCTGCTGCCCTTGTCCTTCTAAGTGGAAGTGCTTGTGGGTTTGTAAAGATCAATGATAAGTTGCTGCAGTGGATCTTGTAGACGATACACATTGCTGCCACTGTATATTGATACTGATGGGGTGAATGTTGAAGGTGGTGCATGGAGTCCTGATCAAGCAAGCAGCTTTGTCCTGGATGGTGTCAAGCTTCTTGAGTGTTATTGGAGCTGCACCTAAACAGGCAAGTGGGGAGCATTCCATCACACCCCTGACTTGTACTTTCTAGATGGTGTACAGGCTTTGGGGAGTCATGAGGAGAGTTACTCGCAGGATTCTAGCCTCTGACCTACTCTTGCAGCCACTGTATTTATATATCAAACCCAGTGGACCAGACCCTTGAAACCTGAATAAATATAGATTGGAACAGATCCCTGAAGCCCAAATAATTCCCCATTAGGGAGATCCCTGAAACATGAAAAATTCTGCACTGGAACATTTCTGAAACATGAATCAATCTACCTTGGAAAATATCCTTAAGTCATGAATCAGTCTACACTGGAGTAGGTCACCTTAATATGAATGATGTTATATTGGAATAGCTCCCCAGAACATTCTACAAAGAACATTTTCATGAAAACTGAAATATTTTAAACTGGAACAAACCTCTGAAACATAAATCATTCCACACTGACATAGATCCTTCAAATATAAATTGTTCTATGTGATGTCAGATCTCCAAAACTTGAATCATCTACATTGGAATAGATTCCTGCAATATCAATCATTCCAAACTAGAACAGATCCCAAACAAGAATGATTCTGCACTGAGATAGATTCTTAAAACATGAAATATTGTAGATCATAAAATATGAATCTTTCTACATTGGAACTGAGCTCTGAAATGTCAGTCATTCCACACTGGAATAACTCACTGAAACATGTATCATTGTAAACTGGAATAGATCATTAAACATGGATCATGCTTGTTTGGAACAGATCACTGGAACATGAGTGACCTACACTAGAATAGATAATTGACATATGAGTCATCTACACTTGAATAAATCATTGAAACATGAGTCGCTTTACACGTGAATAGAACATCAAAACATGGATCATCTACACCGAAAATGATCACCAAAACGAGTCACTGTACATTGGAATTAATCCCTGAATCACAAATCATTCTGCAGTGAATTAGATCATCAAAACATAGGTCATTCTACACTTGAATAGATTACTGAAACATGAGTCTTTCTGCACTGTAATAGATCATCAAAAGTTGGGTCATTTTACGTTGGAACGGTTCACAGAAATACAAGTAATTGAACACCAGATTAAAACATCGAAACATGAATCATTATCCACTGGAATATACCACTGAAACATGGAATAGGTCATCAAAACATGGGTAACTTTACTGTGGAATAGATCCATGAAACCTCAGTCATTCTATACTTGAATAGATCACAGAAACATTAGTCAATTTACCCTTGAATAGATCACTGAAACAGGAGTTATTCTGCAACAGATTATTAAAATGGGTCATTTTTCACTTGAAAGATCACTAAAAGATGCATCATTCTGCACTGCAATAGTCCAAAAAAATTGATCACTCTACACTGAAATCGATCACTGAAACATGAGTCAATCATTCTAGACTGGAAAGATCACTGAAACATGAATCATTCTACACTGCAATAGATTATCAAAAACTGGGTCACTTTTCACTTGAAAGATCACTGTCATTCTAAACTGGAAGGGATCATCAAAATATTCAGCAATCTAAACACTGGAATACATCACTGAAAAAATTAGTCATTCTATACTTGAATAGATCACTGTAACATGAGCCATTCCAAACTGGAATAGATAATCAAAACATAAGTCATTCTACACTGAAATTGGTGTCTGAAACATGAAGTCATTGTATACTTGAATAGGTCATGGAAACATGGGTCATACTACACTGGAACAGATCATCGAAATGTGAGTAATTTCACACTGGAATTGATGACTGAACATGAGAAATTGAACTGTGGAATAAACATTCTACACTGGAATAAGTCACTAACACATCATTCTACAATGGAATAGATCCCTGAAATATAAGTTATTCTACACTGGGATGGATCATTGAAAAATCAATCAGTCTAGTCTGGAATAGATTACTGAAACATGAATCATTACAGGCTGGGATAGATCTTCCACATTGCAAGTGTCCTTCTACACTGGATTACATCATCAAAACATCGGTAATTCAGTCCTGGAATAGATCATCAAAATGCGAGTCATTCTACACTGGAATTGACCACGGAAAAATCAGTCATTGATTAATGAGAATTATCAATGAAACAGGAATCATTGTACACTGGAATAGATAATCCAAATATGGATCATTCTACACTAGAATACATGAGTTATTCAACACTGGAATAGGTCATTGAAACATGGTACAATATGCACTGGAATAGATAATGGAAGCATGTGTCATTCTTCACTGGAATTGGTGTCTGAAGCACAGGTCACTTTGCATTGGAATAGAACATTGAAACATGAGTCAGTCTGCACTGGAATTGATCACTGAAGGGTGAATCATTGTACAGTTTCATCAAAACATGGATCATTCTACACTAGACAAATTATTGAAACAGGAGTCATTCTATACTGCAAAGATCACTGAGTAGATCTCAAATCATGACATTCTGTATCACTTGAAAATGAATCAGTCTACACTGGAAGGGATCACAACAACTGGTCATTCAACACTTGAATAGATCATTGAAATCTGAGTTATGCTACACTAGAATAGATCAGTGAAACATGGGGTCATTCTAGACTGGAATAGATCATCAACACATAAATCATAGATTTGTACAGCACGGAAACAAGCCCTTCGGTCCAAATCATCAATGCCAAGCAGATATCCCAAATTAATCTACAGGCATTTCTGCTATAACGCATGTTTTGTTAATGCGATTTGCCTGTAACACGATTGATGAAGTGGATGGATGCTGTATGGATTACGCAAATTTTCTACTGTAAGGTATAGCGATTTTCTATGGCAATTTTCTATAGCGCAATTTTCTATAGCATGAGGTCGCACAAGAACTACCTGTATAGGAGTTATAGGAGAACTACCTGTAGTCCCACTTGCCAGCATTTGACCCATATCCCTCTAAACACTTCCTATTCATACACCCCTCCAGATGCCTTTTAAATCTTGTAATTGTACCAATCTCCAGTGGGCCCAGCAGTACGGATTTGAATGGGCTCCAACAACGTGGACACGATGTGGGCCCAACAGTGCAGACTCGAGTGGGCCCAACAGTGCGGACTCGAGTGGGCCCAACAGCGTGGACTCGAGTGGGCCAAACAGTACGGACTTGAGTGGGCCCAACAGCGCGGACTCGAGTGGGCCCCACAGCATGGGCTCGAGTGGGCCCCACAGCGCAGACTCGAGTCGGCCCTGCAGTACAAATTTGAGGGGGCCCCACAGCGCGGACTCGACTGGGCCGAGCAGTGCTGACTCGAGTGGACCCAGTAGCACTGAATCGAGTGGGCCCAGCAGCGCAGACTCGAGTGGGCCCAGCAGTGCAGTGTCAGGTGGGCCCAGTAGCGCAGTGTCAAGTGGGCCCAGTAGCGCTGACTCAAGTGGGCCCAGTAGCGCTAACTCGAGTGGGCCCAGCAGCACAGACTCGAGTGAGCCCCGCAGCGCTGACTCGAGTGGGCCCCGCAGCACAGACTCGAGTGAGCCCCGCAGCACAGAGTCAAGTGGGCCCAGTCGCGCTGACTTGAGTGGGCCCAGCAGCGCAGACTTGAGTGGGCCCAGCAGTGCAGATTTGAGTCGGCCCAGTAGTGCATTGACAAGGTCCATCAGGGACTCATTGTGGTGACGGTGTCGGTGGAGGTATGAAGAGCGGCAAACTTGTGTTCCAGCGGTGCTGGCGCAGCGAAGGGACTCATGCCCATTGCCCTTGGCAGAGCGCTTAACAAGAAGGACTGTAAAGTTGGACACTTTTTCTTTATTTCTTCATTTTTCTGCCTTTATATTCAATGTTTTGGTTTATATTTCAGTATCTTAAGATGTCACCAGAAAGTGGCAACACTATACACTTTTCACTGTGTTTTGTAACATAATACACATTACAATAAATCAAATCAAATCAATCTGAAGTATGATGTAAATTACTTGAATACTTTTCCCAGACCTAGTGACAGAAATTTGTCCAGACTGGCTTCAATCTGTGGCATCACAGTGCTTGATATTGAAGATATTGAGGAGAATATTTGGTCCCCGAGGTTTGGATTAAAAGGCAAGATTGATGTAACAGCTTCTGTTAAAATTCGCCCATCCAGGATACAAACTAAAGTCGGAGAGTCAAAACAGAGTCTTCGGCCCAAATTGTCCATGCTGACCATGGTTTCTAAACTGAACTAGTCTTACTTGAAGATGTGTCAGAAGGAGTAACATATGTCCATTTACTTCGTCCCTCTGCAGTGTCCAAGGCCCCACACACACCTTTCCAGGTGAAACAGCGATTTACCTGCACTTCACTCGATTTAGTCTGCTAGGAAGGATGTTATTAAACTGGAAAGAGTGCA